AATAGTTTAATAAAAACAAACAGATTTGTCTTTAGTTAAGACGAAAGCGAACAAAGCAAATAAAGCCAATGGCTTCAGCAGTTCAAAATGTTTCATTTTCATTTTCAATTTTCAAACATTCAGCACTATAAAGCTTTTCGTACTTTGCACAGAAAATCCATGCAACTATAAACTCTAATTATTTAGGGTTCGGAAAAAAAATCCTGTTTTTTTAATTTTGGTGATATTTGATTGATTGTAATTCTAAAGCTTGACAGGTTTTTCGAGCATATATTTGGAAAAAGAAAATTTTGAGAATTCAGTTTTTTATGTTCCTACTTTTCTTTTGCATTCCTTGTGAACTTGTTAGGCAATTACAGCCCCAGCGAATAACCGGTACTTGAAATGGCAAACGCTTTATCCCGTTTTTATTACATCGTCTGGTATAAAATAAATTGAAAGTGTCACGATCAAGAACTGTGGCTTACTTTAAGAGAACATTTTCGTCAATTAGTTGGTAACATTGTAAGGAATACAGAACAGTCAGAAACAGTAAAGCAGCCCACGGGGTCATTAGCTAATCTATTTAGGGGTTTATTTGTTCGGGTGGCGCATTCATATAATAGATGGTCAAATGTCGCAACCCAGTTAGAATTGGGATCACAGTGTGAAACCGAAACGTCCCTATGGGATGCCTTGAGCCTACGTTTGTCCTAGCGGGACCACAAGGGAGTACAATTGCATTACACAGTGTGATCACAAACCAAGAAGTTATTTGCTTATAAATCCTGCATAGAGAACTTTCGGTCACTGAATTAACCACTCCTGGATTAGTTACAAGCAGTAACTTTTGCAGCTCCAACAGGAAACTGGCCGCAGCTTGATCACATTAAGAAAACTCACATACTTTTCATACTTTTATTCGTAATGATTTAGGTTTGTTATTTGGTAGAAACCTGCTGCATTCCAAATCTTATCTATCGTTCAAAATTCTTATATGTGTGAATCTATCTGTGAATCTATGAACTTACTTAATCTATGGTGTGAATGGCAGCTTTCTGAGTCAAATACAACAATGGAATTGTATGAATAACACATGATTGTCATTTCCC